AGAGAGAGAGAGAGAGAGAGAGAGAGAGAGAGAGAGAGAGAGAGAGAATCGTGGAACGTAACGCGGACTTGCGTACACTTGTAAAACTGGGCCTAAGGATCACCTTTAAGCTGATTTGGCAAATTTATCTAACTTTGAAATTGTACTTTGTTTAAAGTTAATAAATGAAAGCTACACTTGTTATACCTGTAGCACAATTATATATGTACACATATATAATAAAATCGCGATTAGAGGACGACAATAATCGATTAACATACTCGATAAACGTTTAAAAAATGTTTTTGAAATTTTTGATTCGAATTAGGATATAGATTGTTATATACACATCGATTGATTTCTTATGCAACTTGCATACATATATATCATGTTAAATATAAATAGGAAATGTTTTCATCAATCACAAAAATAATTCTATTTGTACGATTTATTTACACATCGTTATCGATAATATATTGATATTGATCTGTACGACTTAAAATTTAAGGGGATAGGAAAAGGCACATCAACTCTCGGAAACCGATCTCGGTTATAATATGATGAGATGATGCGATGAAATAATTGTACTTTTTCCCTTATACATTACCGCTCAAAAGTATTTGCCACCTCAGAAAATAATAGAAAAAATTCTAGTTTTTTGCAGTAAACTTAACGTGTACTTGGCGCGAGACACTATACCGTGTCTCTTGATTTAAAGTAAAGATTATTGTTACATGTACTCATTTTATTACCTTACACAAAATTAATATTATGTTGGTATCTCTTAATTACTTCCTAATTTTATGTATAAATTATTTTGCGTACGGAATCTTAAATGATAAATACATTTTCCGAGATCATCGCGTTGGTGTATTTTGAAGCCAAAAATTAATTACAAAATTAATCAACAGGATGCGTAAACTGTGTTAAGGTTGTAATAAAAAACATTGATGAGGCGAAAATTCTAAATAATATTACTTTTTTGTTAAATCATTGTTTGACGTTGCTTGAATAACATGTAACTACCTATCCAATAAAGATATGTAGCAAATTGACCTTTTCATTAAAATTTCATTAATAAACTCATCTCTAATCAAATTTATTTAAGGTAGTAAATACTTTTGAGCGGTAGCGTATGTATATAGTTCACATTGTTTGCTTATCCCTGTTTTTAATATCGTATCGCTTTTTCTTCAATTTATATATGCGGCTGTCTTTTGTTTTATCTTCTTTTACTCATTCTTTATCTTCTTCTTCGTCCCTCGCTTTTCTCAAGGAGAAACTTGTAAACGTCAAGTGACGGAGAATTATGGGTGTAGCAACATTGTCAGACAAACTTTAATTATCATGATGACCTTTATGGCCATATTTTATTATGTATAGTCGTTATATCATATATAATTATGAGTTTTAATATTTTTTACTTTCTATGATATTTTATCAAAATTGGCCTATTAAATATATAAATATACGTTTCGCGTGTGCTACTTCCATTCAACTAACGTTGAACCGTCAATGGAAATATACCTTGATCAATCGTTCGATTGGTCGCGTTATCATCAGTATGTATATTTTAACGAAGGGCTTTACTTGTGTAAAAACTGGTATTCCAAAATGTCTTCCTCATCTGGAATGAAAAAAGCATACATTAAATCGCTAGACAAAATCAATGAAACCTAACACACGATTTTTTTTACTATAAAATTTGCGAAAGGCATTCCAAATTGACATATGTTTAATCACATATACTGATATAATTATTTACTATTTGTGTAACCAGCTTATCAAAATAATATTTCTAATTAAATACATATGAGCTTATAGAAGATGTAAAACAGTTTCAACCATGGTATGTACAATGATTAATTTCACTGTAAGCTGAGCGTAAAAAAGTATAATATTATTAGAATTTGAGAAAATTATACTGAATATGCATTACGTGTCGTAATAAAATAAAAATACACTTACAGATATCGTCTCTGCTATTGTTGTCCAAATCACTAGTTTGTGTATGACTCTCCTCGTGCATACGCCGCCCTGCGTCATTCGTCAGAGCAGCACAAGGCACAAAAATGACTCAGTTATGTATCTGACAATGAGGTATGGTGCAATGTATGTACAATACTAGCGATATAATATTTGAAAACCCAAGTTTCCTACTCTTTGAGACAGGAAGGCGATGCAAATAGAAAAAGTGAGAAACTTTTCATAAAATTTTATAAATCTACACGGAACTCTCCTCCGTCTATGCGATTATGTTGCAATTAGTGCGTTGCGATAATTAGTGCGTTGTAAAAAGACAATTTATTAAGTGTATTGCATTACTACTTGTCTCCAACATAAGTTAGACGTGGGATTTTTATTACATATGTAACACACACGTGTGTGCTGTGTGTGTACATATAATGTGAAATATATATATTTCAAGTCATCTGTACTTGTTTATGTAAATATTTACGTACATTACAACTCACAATCAGTATAATTCAATTAAAGTCGAATGCAATCGACTCGTATGCAATCTTTCGCATGTTTATGACAAAAAAATAAAAATGCATTCGTTTATTAAAAAATAAGAGATTTAGCAATCAATTTTCGAATTAAATTGTATTATACACTCTTCGCTTATATAAAATTACTTTTAGTCGATACAGTTGTTCACGTAAATAAAATTGTTAAAAATATGCGACATTTTGTATATTACAGTTAGAAAAATTGCATAACGTTTACATTGCAAATATAGCTTCACGACGAGTAACAAAATGATAAAATACAAAAGACTTGATGTAACAAAGGATAAAAAACAATCTTTCCGTTCAAATAATAATTTATTTCTACATTGTAACAAATATTTTATAAATAGACTTTGAATATATACTTGAATATATGCGAATTATTAATAAATATACGTGAAGCTATATTTGGTTGTTACTGTCCCGTCGTACAGTGAAACGTTGAACGCACAGCAACTATCGTCTGTTCCTTTGCTCTATACGAGTGATCATAGTATACATGCAGATAAAATTAAAGACACATCTTGCTATTTATAGTGCCGTGAATACATTAAAAAGGAAAGAAAAAAGAGAAACAGTTCTAAACGTTTACAGTTATTCCATGGGTTCAAAGTTCATATTTGTGCTTACGACGGTAGTAATGTAAACTCAGAACAAACTAAGAGTAAACTCTTCTTATCATAGGAGCATAGCTCGAGTCGAGTATAGAAAGAGGCTTTCCTTTCGTAATAAAAATGCAGTAAATAAAGTTGACGGTATATAAAGTTAATGTAATGGCAAGGCATAAATAGAAAGAACGCACCTCGACGATGTGATACGTAAAATACACATAAAAACTTAAATGAAACATATATGAAATCTGTGTATATCACTAATTATAGTAATTATAAAATATATGTGTGTGAGACAATGACGATAAACATAATCTAATAAAGAACGTAAACCTGCACAAGCATCTACATAAATTATAAATCTCGCAGCTTTCTATACTTGTAACACTGATAAGATGGCACATTTAGTATGAGCGTAATTTGAATTTGTATATGTACATTGAATTCCAATATAATGTCGCATAACGTAATTGCAAATGCTATTTTTCAATATAAGTAATAGCTTTTTACATAATATAAGAGTTTGTCACACGTGTAAAGTTTCTAAAGAGTCGACAATTGCACGAACGAAGGTGAAACAATTTCCGCACGCAAACATTTTTTTTCTTTTCGAACGAACATTTCGACAGAGCTACCAAGATGCTTTCAAAATAATAGGGATGACTGAATTACTAGATATTTAGAAACAATATCCTCTCGATTTTAAAGAAATAGTTGTCCCATTGTCGTAGACAATCCTAAAACGTAATCAATTAAATAACATTAATAGATATACATATCTTTCCGTTATACAAGTATAAATTACATGCATGTGCAAAGAAGGATTATTACAAAATCCTAACAGTTTATTTTCAGCTGAGGTAAACTGTGTTATTTACATGTGTTGATTTTTGTGCTTTATGCCTTGTGCGATCGTGCTGCTATAAAGTAACGATTACCATATAGTTACACTTGCAACGAAGCGTGCTTAATAGCGTGTAAGTATACGATAACAAAACATTATAGTAGAAAAGACATTAATTACGTCTCTGCAATATTAGAGAGTACAATGGAAATAGATTGCCGAAAACGTTTCAAGACATACATCATGCAGAAAGACAACGGTAAAAATTTTGCCATTATTTGGAACGATTTACTTTGACTTGGATACGTTCATTCAGGCCATTCTCTCGAGTACAAGTTTATTCTTATTAATATGTAACCAACATTACATAATATTATATGCCAAAGATTTTAAACGTATATCTTTCTTATATATATACGTATACTTAATACTTTATACGAATAACGTATAAAACTGCTTGTTTTTATGAAATTATACGTATTGTTAAATATTCATTTACTATTAACGCCGGGGGGAGGGGAGAGAGAGAGGGGGGAGGAGGGGGAAGAGAAAGTGATAGAAAAGAAAAACGAAAAATGTCAATTTTGCATATGAAATAAGGAAGAACGAACAAAGGAGAAACACTCGTAAAGTTTGTTATAAATAGACTATGGAATAAAAAGCTGTCGTCGTATTCGTTCTTTACTCGAGTAAAATTTCACGACTTTTAACGTAACTCTTCCAAATCGTATTAGTGCGTATACATCGTTCTGTTACAAAACATGCAAGATAACTTTATAAAATAGATTTGTGTAAAAAATACTGTGCAAGATGCAAATATATAAACGCTAATATATAAAGATCTGTACACACAAGTGAATGAATAAAAAAATTTTCAGACCTCATTTAAATTTGTATACGCTAAACGGAATTAATGAATAAATACTTTGAACAGTAAAAAAGCGGTAGCATCCATGCATGAATATCGGAATGCATGATAGATTTATAATAATTACTAGGTTTATCTCAGAATACGAAAATAGAAACGGAAATATTGAAAAATCCGAGATGGAAAATCTAAAAAGGAAAAGGGGGAAAGATCTCTCAGTACGGACATTTATCAGCGTTAATCTTTACCTTGCAAGCATAGAATGACAGTTTAACGTGCTTGAGTATAAAACTATTTATCAAAGTATTCATCCACAACGCGTTCAGCTTTATGTTTTGCACTATATGTATATCTAGCTCGAATCTCTTTCTCTATTTACAACAGCTACATAACATCGACAAAGAATTCACAAGGATTTCCCATCGCAATGCGAAATGACTGTCTACTACCAGATAAGTCTTGCTGATTCTGCTGATTCGCCGATCCTGTTCCCGTTTGAACAGATTGTTCGGAACCACTGGAACGACTGCGGCTCCCGTTGGATCTCTTTCCGTTCGATCCATTACCGTTGCCGGAATTTTTACTTGGCATTGACGGCACCGACGGATTATGCAGCTCCGATTCTGATGCCGAAGAACATGATTTTAGATCGTGAATAGGTTCCTTGCAAATGCGTTCGCTCCCCGCACTGCTACCACCTGTCAATATCAATATACACCTAACATGAAATATATGTTTCATACATACATACATACGTAACATAATATACATATACATTTATGCGCACGCGAAACAAAGAATCGCTTCATTTATAAGGAATAATGAACTTTACCTGAACCACTGTGCACGCTTTCTTCTCGATGGTAACCGTATACCGTGGGCTCATTTGTAAAATTAAATGGCATGGGACTGTAACCTGTCGCCGAATGAGGGGCATACGTTCCCGAATAAGGCATATCCCAAGCGCTTGGCGGAGGCAAGGGGCTAACCGTATCATTATCTAGCTTCATGTTACTCATGGTTGAACACAAATCACCAAATATGTAATAACATTGTTCGGAAAATGTTATCTTGTTCACTGTATGTCGAATGTAGCCAGCTTTTAGCATATGCGACGCATATTTCCTGGCATCGCGTCGATCAAGAAATCCTTCCACGTGCGTGTTTAACCAGTCCACGACGTCCGCGCCAATAAACGCATTTGGAATAGTGATTTTCAACCACATTCGATCGCGTATCTCTAAGCCAGAGTCAGGTCGAGCCATCGCTCGTACTATTGTCGGCATGTCGGTATGAATTGTCAAGTGAAGCTCTTCCAAGGGTCCTGGAGCAAAATATTTCAAACTATTACTACAATACGCAAGATGTCTAATATCATAATCATTTATTCAGCCTATTTATATAGGCCTTGTTTATTAGACTTCTGGAGTGGGACTTTTGGATTCATATTTTTAGAGTTTCAAGTGCTCGAAGAGATGAAGGTATTTTTGGGAATCAAGTTCTTACAGTACATAAATAGTAAAACATTATCTCATTTAATTCAAAGTGATTTTACTCGGTATTCTCGACAATTTGTTAAAAATTTTTACTTTATTCAAGAATTAAAAACGACTTTCAATGTTAAAAATTTATTTTTAATTAATTTGACACATTTAGTTTATATACGTGTTAAATTTCTCGCATTGCAATGTAACTTACGTTCAGTATCTGGCAGTGTGCTCGCGAGACTACTCGAAGTTGAAGTTAACGTTGTGGCACTTGGTGGACGAGGCGGAAAACCTTCGCCTCGTATAGCGGCCGTGTGCGCTACCCATGCACCAGGATCTATGGGGCGTACCGGCTCTGTGCGAGGTATCGTGAAGTAACCTTTTGGATTTGGGTCCCAACATTTCGCAACGACAAGTTTTATTGGTCTAAAAAGAGAAGCAAGAAATAACAGTTTAAATTTACCTTAATAAAAATGTTATATGTCTTGTAAAGAATTATATAGGCTCATCAAAGGGTAGAGACGACTATAGTGTACAGTCTTACCCTGGCTTTTGCACTACTTCGCGTAACACTCTCACCGCTTCGTCGTTGGACATATTTTCAAAATTAATGTCATTGACTTGAAGAATCATGTCACCAGGTTCTATTCGACCATCCAAAGCAACCGCTCCCCTATTTCAGGTAAGTTGTAGTAAAGTAAATTATAGTATAGTATAGTAATTTATGGTATAGTAGAACACCATTATAACACATGGTTATATAAAATACCTTGCGTTTATAACGATACGATTTAATGGAAAAAAAACCTTTGAAACATTCATACAAGTTGTAACATAACTAGAAAAAACTACAGAATTCGCTCTGTTCTCACGTAATTTAGTACAGAGATTGTTGATATCTCTAATTACTATCGCAAAAACTCGTTTACATTTCACGTTCAAATTTGTGCAATAATTTAGACATAGTCTATCGAAACTGTCAATAGGACGAAACACCAAAAATCCCAGTGCAAAAACTGATAAAGTTACAGATGCTTGCTAATACGAGTAATTAAAGGAGACTGTTTACTAACCCTTTCATTATTGAACCGACATATATTCCACCGTCTCCACCTTTGTTGCTTTGACCGACAATACTAATACCAAGAAAATTAACAGTGTCCATATTTAATGAAACAGTTATAATATTTAAGGACATTGTACTGTCAGTAATACTACTGAATGACGATGTTCGAGACATAGGTGGTAATCTGTGTCGACGTCTTCTTTGCGGTCGACGTCGATCTGTAACAAAAAAATTTGCAAATTTGATACAAGCCTAAATAAAGCAAAAGATTCGTGCGTGATATCGTTCTTCCATAAGATTTCATTTTTTTTTTAATTTTCGTTTTAAAAGAATATCCTCTTGTATAATTTTTCTCTTACCAAGAGTGCCCCTGTCGATCGTGCTACTCATATTGGTGTGCCGACCCGTTGTCGACGTGATACGACTGCTCGCATCATCATCAGATTCTAAAAATGTTGTCGTTTCCAAGTCTGAACTCAAGATAGAAGCAGTTTCATATCCATGACCAGAGCGATGTTTCGAATGACCATTTATCCGGAGTCCTGTAAAATAAATTGCAAAAGAGTAAAGTAAAAGGGATTACTGTTTCTTGACATGACATCTTTTTATATTTTAATTTCTTTAAAACTATTTTACATACAAATCTATAATTCAATCAATAATTCAATCAATTGTTCAATCAACTGTAACAAATTAACGTTCAATAAAGAGGTTACACATACACAACTTACCATTATATTTATTGTATTTCTCATACTTTTCCGAATGATGTCTCGAACTTTTATGTAAGTGATGCCCTTGTCGACTACTTATAATACTTTCCGTTTCCGTCAACGTGTCGTCGTGTGAAAGCGGAGCGTTTCCTCTATTACCATGCCCAGGAGTCGTATGATCTACACGGTCGTGTTTAGCTTCGCTATGTGCCATAGAGTCCGTACATTGCGACGCACCATCGGAGACGTTGCTACCTTCAGCGGATACCAACTGTAACACAAAAAGTATCGTTTCATCAAATAATATATCTACGAAGTCTTCCTCTGGGAAGATATAGAGATTACTCTGTTCTAATACACATTCCAATACATATACATTTATTATATTTTATAACTATATATTTGACTTGTAAAGCAAGAGGAAACATTGACATAATACGACATAATATTTCTATTTTGTCATAACAAGCTATAGAAATTTAAAGTGTTTATTAAAAAAGATATTTTTAAATCTTACCCAAGAGACAACTCGACCGTTGAAGCATGGCAGATGAGCGTCATCATCTACTATCTCTTCTTTTACCACCCTAGTAGAATAGAAAAAGTAATTGTGTATAAGTATAAATGTTGAAACTAATGACTTTCTCAATCGCAATTAAAGACTAACAAATATATCACATACAGATTTTAATAATTATTCTTTTCATGTATCCCAATTTATAAGTCT